TATATAAGCCCACTTTATAGTTCAGTAGCTTCTACAGCTATAATAAAATCAGGCAGGGAACATCCACACAATTTGTTCCAGAGACGGTGTGCCAAATTCCAATTTGATTTTTTTTTAGACCTGGATATTTTTACAGTATTTAAAAAAAAAAAACCCATCCTAGTCTAGAATTGGTAAAAGGGTCCTTTGGGCTGGCTCACCACTATGTTCCTGTATAGTGTCACATAATTGCATCACATATTGCAGTAAGAAAGTATATTACTTTTTTTTAATGGGTTCATGGCATTATAATGACATTGAATCCTGACTCCTGTTCATTATTACATATGTGATCCCCACCGGTTTGGGCAACAGAGTCAAAGAGTGAGGTTTCTCCCTCGTCCCATGCAGGCTTGAGGAGCCTAGGAGTTAACTGGAAAGGGGTGCACAAGTGCCCTTTCACTAAAGTGAAGGATTAATATTAGCAGATATTAGTAGTATTTCTGAAATTGCTGGTACTGTATATTTATTTACTATTTCACAGCCTTCCCATATGAGAAATTGAGGGATATTCTATAAAATTATATCTCTCCAATCAGCTGCACAAAACCTCTTTCGGTCCTTCGGTTTTGTGCGGCTGATTGGAAAGATATTGTTCGATGAATGGGATCGGTGGCGTTACAAGGGGGTGTGGCCCGCACCCGGGTGACACCATTGGAGGGGTGACACCAAAATGACAGTCAGTCATTTTGGTGTCACGCCCTCTGAAAACTCGGGCACTCGGTTACTTTGTGCACCTATCCTGCTTCCATCGGTCACAGCGCTGCATGGTGTGCAGCAGGAAAACACAAAGAAATGTAGAAAATACAGATACATGTATGTGTTATTTAATTCTACCCGTGCACTCTCGAAGTTCATATCAAGCCTCAAATGATCAGTAGCAGTTTTTTTCTCTCCTCTATCAGATCAGGGATTATTGTTTTCGTGGAGATGAAAAGAAAATTATTAATGTGGCTATTTACCTGTTTTCCTTGTTTGATAAAACACACGGCAGCGCGGCACATATTGTGCCATAAATTATTCAGGCAATTTGCATGTTTTCCAGAATCTGGCGTTAAACTTATCAAAGTGTGTGTGTCATCTATTAATAACACGGGAGGAAATGACTGACAATGTAATAAAGATTTTATAGTGTCTGTCACTCCGGGATGAATATTACATGTTGTGGTAAGCCATTACCATCGACAGCGCGAGAAGACAATGCTGCAGCCATTCTGCAATTACAAGAGGACATTAAAATTGGAAGGGAGGAGGTTTCATCAAGGATTCAATGTGCGTGGATAAGGTTGACCATACACAGAATGAAACTTAGGAAGGCTCAACAAAGACTCAATATATTTACTAAGAATTATGGTAAGTGGACGAACGATAGTCTCTTTGTTACAAACCTTCATGGCCAACAACTTCCAGCCAATCCTCT